GTCTAAGTTTAGCTATGATAGATATCCTTTACTAACATTATAATTACTTGTAACACTACAAACGTAGATAGTTGAAACTTGAGTTGATATAGTTATTTTTTAATGATTGTATCAATTGATAATGTTACGTCTCTGGTCGTTAGTTAACTTCCCGTATAATTTCTTTCCGATGAAACTTTAACGACACAAGTCCTTTCTTAATTAAAATTGGTTTATTCTTTCTGAATACAACTTTGCAATGCACTTAATTTTCACAGTCACGTTATAACAAACGCTATAATTCACAACGAATGACACACGCGCTCGACCCAACAATACGTCTCTATCTCTGTCTGCAGTTCAGTTACCTTACATTGTTGCCGTCACTTCTTACCTGTCTTATATATACAAGAATATCGCATATCTAGTAACCTCTCGAGGCTTCAGGAAGGGACATGAACGTTCTAGAAGCTCATGACGTGTTACTAGCGTCATGTGACTTCCGCTGTCGTAACAATAACTTAACATCTGCCTGACAAGTTAGTCTGGCTTTAGGCCTTGGAAAACTTTTGTATCAGTGTAATTAATTTGTGTCGATATATCCTGCTACCAGGAAGAGTTTAGGCTAAAGTCTTTCTTACTGAAATATAAAAACCATATAGACAAATCATTTCTTCAGGTGTCTTTCCCACTGAGAAGTGTCAGTTATTACTAATATCAGTAGAAGTTATTAGATATTATTCAGGAGGGAAAGTTAATGGCCAAGCCTATATTATAACTGTTGGATGGACTGATAACTTTACTTTTTTTTTGTAGTCTCACACATTGAAACTAAAACGGAAAGAACTATCTCATCCTGTATTTGCTAAATTTATTTGCTTTGACCTTTGTGAGCTTTACAAATTATTCTTTAAATACAGTAATTCCTCTCAAATCAGGCCTAGCTGTGTGGTTAGAACGTTCCTTCTCTCACGCCCTTTTCGTGCCCATTAAGGCGTTTTTATATAGTCACCGTCACTGATGTCCGCTAGTAGCTATAGTGGGTACCCTTCTTAGGACTGTCTTTGTTGTGTCTCTGTTTACTTTCATTAAAGATTCTTCTTGGAGTTCTAGATTTTTTAATTTTTGATAGTTTAGATTTTCAGTATATCCATTATTTTACCTTTCTAAGTTAGATTTTTAACTTATTGTAATTAAAGTTGTTTTTAATTAATTTAAACTTGGTTGATAATAACTTCAACAAATTTTCACATAGAAGAAGTTTTACTCCTCGAAGTTGAACCTTAAGAGTCCTTCCAGGTGGATTTTTCATCTCAAAGTTGTGATGGTTCCAGTTTTGCACACACACCTCGGTGGCTCAGCGAAAAGACTGAGAGCTTATTAGGCTAAAAATTGGTTGTTTGTTTTTTTTTGTAGCTTTGCGCTTAATAACAAATAAACAAAGATCAAGTTTTTGGTTCTGTTCACTTTTCTTCTCTCCAACGCATGTTTAATCATTTGAAGATTGTTTTAATGTCGACTACCCTGCTTTTTGGTTATACTCACACCATAAGTTTAATTTGTATCTGTGATAAAACGAGGCATTCCTGACTGTATGGATTATACAATATCGTTTAAAATTATGGGCTCCTTATTGCTCTCATTTCCGAGCCGAAATCTCCCCTTTTACGGTTTTTCCTTCCACTTGGAATGACTTCAGGGAACCACTGATGTATAGATCAACATTTTTTTTGATACAAAGAATCTTTTTTCAGTAAAGACCACGAATCTTTCTCTGTGTTTTTTTTAGAACAAAGCTATCTACTGTGTTTACCGCTTGGAATCGAACCCCGGATTTTAGCGTTGTAAGTCCGTAAACTTACCGCTGTCCCACAGGGGGAAATTACTCTTTTTCAAGCCTCTACGTTTTTTAACCCTTACCCGCAAAAATAAAGGGTTAATCACACTTTAAAAAGTGCCGTTAACGCCAAGAAAATGCTAATTATTATTTTTTTTGTTGGACATGAAATTATTTGTATGCTAATAAATCTGAATAACATTTACAGCAAACAGTTAGCAGAGAAGGCGTTGAGGAGTAACTGGCTTTAGATAATTAAAGAACAGTTTGCACATACGTGTACAGTATGATTTTGTTCCAAAGAAGAGCCTGGTGCCACGAGCAATGTTTAGCACCTATTGTATTTTGTTCGTGGCGAATTCCTGACCATTCACCAGGTAACTGCCGTTGTGGATTATGATAAAGAAGTATTAAAATAAAACAACCTTTCTAGAGGTAAATATTCACAGAGAAAGATTCTTAAATGATAAAGTGCCAAAAAACACAACACTCTGAATAAGCGAGCCTCCAATATTCGGCATGGAAGTGTATAATCGGAGGGTTTAGAGGTGCTATGGGTTCCAAAAGCACACCTCAATCTAGATCAATACCAATAACTGGAAAGTGAATTATAGAGTGTGACGATTTTTTTATGGGCCATTCCTGTCTTTGCTGGGATGGAGAAACTTGGCACATGCAGGGTTCACAATTTTGTTTTCATTCCATTTTGTGCCTTCACATGATATCATCACTATAGGCCCTGTGTATATACGCAAAGTTAATGTCTCGAGAACTTGTGTTACATATCTTAACGTAGAGCGAAAAAATAATATAAATTTGTTTTTAAATAATTTTTGGAAATATGAAGTAAGCCTTGGTATAAATATACTAAATACTTCCGTTTTTCATACTTACTGACTTTAAAATCTTACTTGGCTATCAAATGTGATGAGTTCTTTTAAAGCTAAATGTCGAGGGCATGAAAAGAATTACTAATACGAGAAACAGTATTGAAAATTAGATTAAGGCTATAAAGTCAAACTATAAACAGTTACTTTTTGGATGAGGAATGAACTTTTCCAATTAATGAAGATGTCATCTAGCTGTTAGCTTCCAATGGAATTCTTAATCACATTTATAAGATGAGTAAAACCAAGAGTATTCTGAATACTTTGTATTTCAACTAAAAATAAGCTATGATAACTAGAGAATGGTAAATTTTGATAATTCTTCACAACTAACAGGAATTTTCTTTGCATTTTTCAAAAACTCTTAAAGTATAATAGTTACAAAAGTATGTAGAAAATTACAGAATTAAGTCTGCTTGATTCTTGTATTTTAACATTGTGTTGTAACGTTGTTTATTCGTTGGAGGGATATTTGAAATTATCTGATGAAAATTATTCAACGTAAACTATAACGAATGTGTATATTCCTTCCTTTAACATTTCTACAAACTTGAACACTTGTACACTGCCGTAAATTACCGTAAGCCTACGTTATAAATGACGTTAATTAATTTAAAACAAGTCCACTAGTTTGTACAAAATAACTAGATAAGTACGTTAAAACCCACATCCAAATACTTCACGAAAACTTACTCAACTCTCTAACTTCAAACAGCTCTACCTTGATTGTCTTTAACTCACTCTCTAACTGACCGCTCAATGTTTAACTCATTCTTGATATTTCTATGACTTGTTTGATCTTAATGTCATGTGTCCCATGGCTAATATCCGAATTAAGTCAATTATATTATAAATATCACTTATAACAATTGTTCTACAGAAAGTATAATTAAGTATTCTTGTATTTTAACAGAAATTAAAACTGCGGCTGTGTATTTTAACATTGTTATTTTCTGATAACACAACAACTTGAAAATGAAAAGACCCTAAAGGTACAACTATTCATCATATTAGTCGTTGGGCCTACAAAATATTTTGGGAAGTTTGAATTTGAAGTATATAGAAATTGGGCTGATATTAATAATTTCAACTTTTTTGTTGAAACTTTCTTAGTGTCAAACTTTTATTGAGGTAATAATGAATACTGTAATAATATGTTATAAATAAATTGTATGAAAGGTAGGATTTTTTGTCATTGATCATAGCATCCACCCCCACATTTGTTTAAGTTCATAACCAGGAGAGGTACCTCAGTTTGTTTTTAGAGGTAAAAGAAAATTTTCATTCCCACTCTTTCAAGTTTTAAGGTTACATTTCCTAAATAATTTTAAAAATTGGTCTCTCAATACAGCCTTCGTGGTTTCTGCAGAAGATCAGTATGATAAAAATATTTGTAATTTTCAGACCTGTAAACAGAGTTAAGTATGAATTTGCTCGATAAATTTGGATTCAAATAAATTCAAATAAAGCCAATTTGACATGGTTTGATATGATAAAAATTGCTAAGATACAACTTGTTAAAAATGGTGGTTAAAAGTGAAATTCAATTAAGGTTTAATTACGCTAAACAGAGTTTTATATGTTAACGTAAGTCACGATACAACTAGATGAATATAGTTTTACATGGTAATTTGAACAAAGGTAAAACAAGTGCAAATTCTTTTCATGAAACATTTATGCCCACAATTTGATCTGGACTCAAGACTTTCAAAAATTAATCAGTTCTAGATATGTGTATGTTGTACCTGTTGTACAAGTTTGGGTAAGATCCACCCATCCATTCAATGTTGAGATAACCAATATGCCCTGCTCTGCTTCACAGTGGGAGGAGATGATTAATATTCTTTGGTTTTATGAAATAAACTGCTCTAAAATACAACCATGCTTTAAGCATCACCATGCATGGTAAATATGTGTCAAAACAGAACCATTTAGGCATAATTTTATACAGTAAACTTGAGACAAGACAGAGTACATAAGTATATTTGTATATGGTAAAGTTGAGTATATGTATTTGTTGTGGGTTTGAAAGGAAAAGATGATTTAGGTATTATGTTCCAGTGCCTGTGGTAGCAGAATTTGTGTGTGTGTGTGTATGATCACTAAAATTGATTTTTGACGTTCATACTGGCAATATTTTTTTTGTGTGCAAATTGAGCACATTTATTTAAACTTAGTGAAATAAGTCATAGCTACAAAGTCGAAAGAAAGGAAAAACATTTACAGCTCTTTCCAAGAAACTGTAAACACAACACCTCTTGCATAGCTCACTTTGTTTCAGCTTCTTCCAGCAACTCTGATAGCAACTGAATAGTTTAAAGTACCAAAGTGAAAGTTCCCTCCTGCTTCAAGCCACAAGGCTGTATACAAGTACACATAATTTGATATTTGTTGAACATATATCCATCTTATAGAGAGGAAGTGAATCATAGTTTATTTCAATAACATTGGAATATTATCTTAAATCTATAGTCAAGCTTTATGCTAAAACAAACCTTAGGCACAATCAAAGGATGAAAGCCCAGAATATTTTAAGATAGTTTTTGTAAAATCACTAACAATTCTCCACAAATATCTAATTGCTACTTTTTAGTTTCATTTTTGTGTAATTATTTCCATCCTACATTATATATTTGAAAGTGGTGATTCCAAAAGAATAAGAAACTTGGAATATCATTTTTTGTATATTAGATTTTTTGGGAAAATGATTTTCTATTTTCTTTAATTTGGTGCTGACATACAACTAATGAAAACGTTAATAAGAGTTATCAATACTGTGAGATGAATAAAACAAATTAAAATCTCATCATGCAAGTATTCTGGTAATGACTTCTTTGAATTGGAATTTTATATAATAACAGGTTTAATTATTAAACAAACTTCCTTCTGAAACTAAGTACATGGTAGCATTTTCTAGTTTCAGTTTTGTTTTCTCAAAAATAGGTTTCGGTATTGGGAGAGACAAAACAACAATAGAATTAAAAAAAATTTTTTTAACAACTATCTCAAAAACAGAATGTATATATATATATATATTCTAAAACAAGAATCAGAAAACTCTTGCTCCTTCCATCAGGTTAAGTCACACATTGTCATACGTGAAAACAGACTGTTCGAAACAATAACGGAATACACGGACTTTTTTGACTAAAACCAATAACAAACATTATTAAAATAGAAGCAAAGAATGTTCTGAATTGGATTTAAACAAGGCAATTCTCATTGAACAAATTAGTATAAATATGCAACATCTGATATAAAAATTGAGCCGTATACTTCTCAACAGATACAAAATACCAAAAAAGTAGAACATGAAACAAAACCCATTTAGTTTGGTGAAACAAACGAAAGCCGTGTTACAGACATTTCATGTCATACCAGGATTATGCCTAAATCATTAATCATATTCACTCTCAAACAATTCCTTTATGCACAGTGGACATGAATGAATTACATCCATAATCACTTATATTTATAAACGTACCTCAAACAAAACAGTTTACCTTCATTACAGAAAAAAATAAAAGCATTTTCTTTCAAAACGTTTCATGCAATATTATCAGCTTATTTTACACAAGAGTGTTTAAAGTTTATATACAGATCAAGACTCTGTATAACTAACTGACAGTGCAAAGACCTATACACTACATACATCATACAGCCAGGTATAATACTTAATACCTATACTGTCACATTTAATTCTAAATGGTTGGACAGAATTTTATTTCTCATTCACTACAATTCTAAAATGAAAAAAAAAGCATTTAATAACTGACATAGAAGTATAGATGGTTCCAGACTCAATGAATCACTCAGTTTTCTATCACAAACAGATGCTGACAATAGAGCAGTAAACAGACAACCAGGTTTGTCTTAATCTTTGTTACTAGTTATTACTACCAACGTCATACACCTTTCTTTGGTAAACCACGAGCATAATAAGCCTTAACCATATTTTATTTCTTCATCCGTTATGATCACTGATTTATTAGCCACCAAGAAAGTTTATCAAACTAGATGCATTTTCTGTAAAATGAGAAATTTTGAATATATTCCCTTTCCACTTATTAGCCCTTTAAATCCGACATAATAAATGGAATAATTTTAAATATGAAGAAGAGTACAAATATTTATGTGTATAATGTAACATATTTGTGCCTATAAATTTGAAAAGAAATTTAATTTAGTTGAACAGCAACAATATAGCTGTCTTCTACAACCCTAAATAAATTTATATGTTATTATTTTTTAAGAAAATGATTCAAGCCATATACCAATTTAATTTTCAACACTAATACTTCAATTTCATATATTAAGTACTCTAATGGAAGGTTAAAGTACTACTAGTATTTTGGGAGGGCTTTGAAATTAGAAGTGTTTCTCTAGTGAATAACTACTATGTAGGATGAAGGCTTGGTCATATAGACACGAAAGTTTACATACAGATAATAACATTATAAGGTTATTTATCACAACAACATACAAAAATGAGTATTATCTGTCACCGTTAAGACTTTTGATGATGAGATAGTCTCTAGGACTATCTGTTTCTGTGATTACTTAACATCATGTTCTTCTAAAAAGCTACTGAATGCAACAAGATTAGTAAAAGTATCAGGCATAGTAAAATTTCATTAAGTTAAAACTACCTCAAAGTTTCCATCCGCTATATTTTACGCTTTGTTCGATAAAACAGCTACACGATTCATTTCCAGCCTAACAGAAATACATTCTGTTTTTCATAAGAGCACTTGATCATTATTTGTCTGCCATCAAACTTTGATAAAACGTGCTTACTAAGTTCAAGTACAGTCAATCCTTGGAGATGATCAGTTAGAAAAAAAGGATAACATACAAAAGCAATTAGCAAATGTTCACATGGAAGTGAATTAGATAGTAGAACTATTATTCTTAAATTACAGGCAGAACATTCCCAGAAGTCAGTCTCCGAGTTAAGATCTAGGTCAATAATTTTTTTAACATTCTGGAGTTCTTACCTGTTACATAGAGAATTATAATCATTGCTGATAACTATCTGGGCATTACAAATAATCAAAATAATTGTTATTTTGGTTGATAGCACTCAAAATCAGAAGCATATAAATATGGTAGAAAGTCTCACTGTGCATAATTGCAGAAAACAGGAGTTCAGAAATAATGGCTTTCCATGAAAAGCATCTATACCTAAATTTGGCTACCTCTGATATCGTGTCAGGGAAGGGCTTTAATTAGGACTTTACCTGGGCTACCATGTCAGCCACTACATGAAGAATCATTTTGGTTTATCACAGTCAATTTCAACAATAATTCCACCAACTCTACAGTCTTCTCGTGTCAGGCAAAACAAACTTCCCTGAGTAAAGCAGCATGTCGCAATAACAACACTCTTCAAAAAAATAAGTAAAACATTATTGAAAAGTACAAAATAAGTACATCTGTACTTGCTTAACAGTATGAAAGACTTGAGAATTGACAACGTACTAAACAGAAAATTGAAGTATTAATCTTTGTGCTGAATTTAAATACTGTACATAGAGAATGTATTTTATGAGTCATATGCCTATAGCAAAGAAAACTATGGGACAAAACTGCAAAACTAAGTTACATATATTAAAATTGATTTTTTTTAAACTGTAGATACACCATTTCTTGAGCTTTCTCTTACATATCAGCACATATTTAGCGATATTTACATACAAGTACTTCAAACTCCTTTGAATTCCTTTTTCAGAAATCCTGTTAGTATACACGATCTTTCTGATCCTTTTAAACCTATTTAATTAACTACTTATTCTTTTCAACTTTGAATGTCAAAGTCTGTTTACTGCTAATTCCTTGTTAAAAGAAAAGAATTCCTTCGAAATAAGAAAGACTATGGATAGTCTTTGTTTATATGCCCATGTCTGATATTACACAAACTGATAGGAGGTTATGTCTTCAAGAAGATAATGTGCCTTAGAATAAACTTCCTTTCTCTAAACAAGTTACCGTAGAAAAATAAATACAACTGCAAATAAACTATAAACAATTATTTACACATCAGAGGACTTGGAGTCTCGACCTAGATAGTAGCCGAGCGATCTTTCATCATCAGAAGCGCAGGTCTTCTGTTTCCTTAGTTGATGAAGAGGACAAGCTGCTCATTTTGTCTTTAGTATCTTCCTGTCTGCCAATTCGAAGATCCACTGGCATTGTAACATACTTAGTGGGCTTACCTTTTCTATGCAGGTACTGAAAACGAATAAGAAAAATTGGTAAAATTACTAATATTCAAACAGATTTTTTTTTTCATTAAAAATTTTTTTTTATGTGGTCAGTTTGGTTTGTTTTGGATGCTTTTAAAAGCTACACAAAGACTATATCTTCACTAGCCATCACTAATTTTGAACTGATAGATTAGAGGGAAAGCAATTTGTCAACAACAACCACTACCAACTCTGGGCCTACTGGAATCTGATCATCATTCTTGTAACTTGCCCATTACCCCAAAGAGCAGAGCACAATTTGTTTTTCGTTTTTTTTTGTGGCAATGGGAGACAAAATATGGACTCTCAGATCCACAGTCCATGTAACCATCTAGTTAGAACAACCACATGGACATCATTAGTATATATCTAGGAGCTGAGGTAATACAGAAACATTTTTCTTTTGCAGTAACCTCCTCAACATTGCCGATCAACCTTAATTTTCTTAAAATTGGAAAAGAAAATTGTTAATTGTTATGCTAACTTGCAGTATTACTCCCTGTACATTGCAAGTATACTAACGTGAACTTCACAGAAGCTGCTAATTTTCCCACTAAAACTACCGTTGACAAACCAGTCAAATTTTATCTGGTAGAATGGTCTGCCACTTTAGACCATTACACATACATAGACGTTCTATATCATCATCCCTCAATTCACTGTGAGATTCATGAGGTTTTCTGTCAATGTAGCACAGATGTTTCAACCATCATGCTATTAATACTTCTTCTTTAAATGTTCACAGAGATTAAACGGAACTTTAATCTTCTCCTTCTCGGTGCCCTCATCCATAGTTCTTAACTGTCAGATATCTTTAAGCAAAACTTGTGTGTTTAGTTTCTTATCTGACAAATTTCTGGAGATGCTTCTCACTTTGTTCTTCTTCAGGCCGAAAGATTGATCACATTTTACAGGCAATTTTTATCTGAAAAACTGTATTTAATTTTGATGCCTTACAGAATAGATACATTACTAGTCAAGGAAAAATATTCATTGTTAATATGAATTTAGGATAATCTAGGATCAGGCTTTTAGTTCCTCATTACCATTATTCTCAAGACTAGCAAAGTCAATGTAGACCCACCTTCGGCCAGCTATTTTCTGTTGCACCAAATTACAAGTTAGGGAATGTTTAAGTGAGTGGGAAGGGGGCGATTGAAAAGATTTAATTAAATACTGTTCCTTAAAAACATTGGAACGGAGTTTCTGTGCAATACTTCAGCTTTCATTCTTGATTTGGTCATAACTGAAACCTAAAGTCATTTCACTCACACACACTTTTGTGTCTTTTCAAGATGTAAATTTCAAGATTTGTTTAAGTAGTAGACAAGCACACTACATAATCAGAATAATGAAGACTAGAAATATGAAATCAAGTATCAAATTTTAATCTCTCAGGACTACTTTTGACACTTGGGCTTCATTTATGTAGGTCAGGGAAAGATTTTCTAAGAATTCTGTAACAATTAAACATTTGGAAATATTTCTTTCACCATGCATAAAGCGTTAAGTTTTAACGGGCTTTGAAACTCGTGCACTTCTTTAAGGAGTAAGTTTTACTACATTTTCTATCTAGATTTTCCATCAAGTTTACAAAAATTTAGATTGCTGCTGTTAAACCATCTGTATTTCAGTTATCTAAGTCACTTCATTTTCATTTTTTTTCTCTACAAGTCAACACTGCTTTATCAAAAATTACTGAGCTAAACTACAAAGGATAACGTAACATTTCCAATTTCTATTTACTTTGTAACTATTCTGATTCTGTTGAAGGTTACCATTAATTGTGGATTTGAATTCTCAGTTTTAAACACTGTTCTATTGTTTCAAATCTTGCACAAAGCTACTTGAGGGCTATCTGCACTAGTTGTCCCTAATTTAGCAGTAAAAAACTAGAGGGAAGGCAGCTAGTCATCACCACCCACTGCTAACTCTGGGGCTACTCTTTTACCAATGAACAGTGGGATTGACTGTCACATTATAAATCCTCCACAACTGAAAAGGCAAACATGTTTGGTGGGATGGGGATTCGAACCCATGACCCTCAGATTGTGAGTCAAGCACTCTAACCACCTGGCCATGCTGGGCTACTTCTATTGTTTTAACTGTGAAGCTTAAAACTTAATAAACTCTCAAGTTTTAATTTCATCCCAATTATTTCCATAATATTCTTAAAACTATCTATTCAACTTTTCTATTGAACATTGTTTCATGCACTTGTATCAGTCCTACTTGCCTGGTTTATTGTAGAGTTGCCCCTTCTCTGGGGTTATACAAGTTATAGTTTAAATAAAAGATGTTAGTTTCCCGTGTCCAGCAAGAAAGCCATTCTGCATGTCAGCAAAAAACATTTATGATCAAGATGAAAAACAGGCCTACCTGGCTATGGTTGGAGGGCTGTGATTGGCTGCGATTTGTGTCACGTGATTTATCACCGACAGAAGTGGGAGGCACTGTTGTCGGCCGAGGCCCTTCAAATGGATCATCTGTTGAACTTACTTCTGGAGTTGGCCACAGGATTTCTTCCAAAACAGATTCTTCCAGTGATCTGTTTGAAGTTAAAATTGCTCGTTTTTAAAATGAGGTTGTATTTATGTTAACCCTTGCTGACACCATAGTATACCTCATGTGATACATTTGTTGTTTTTTTACATCCAGATGTTGCATATTTAACTAGTCTAGAGTAATAAAATATTGTTGAACTTATCAAGGACACTACTCACCTATTAGTGTCAAGACTATTACAACAGTGTTTAGGTTAAATAGTACACTACTCACCTACTAGTGTCAAGGCTATTACAACAGTGTTTAGTGTCAATCGTACACTACTCACCTACTAGTGTCAAGGCTATTACAACAGTGTTTAGTGTAAATAGTACACTACTCACCTACTAGTGTCAAGGCTATTACAACAGTGTTTAGTGTAAATAGTACACTACTCACCTACTAGTGTAAAGGCTATTACAACAGTGTTTAGGTTAAATAGAACACTACTCACCTACTAGTGTCTAGACTGTGGGATGGAAGTTTCATCTTGAATTCCTCAGTAGAAGTGGGGGTATTTTGAAGACTTAGTGCCCTTCTAAAGGGTCGACTCCTACCCTTTAAACCAGGATGACGACTTTGAAGAGAAGCTGGTCGTTGGGGGGCCATAAACCCCTCAATAACTGGATATTTAGAATGAGAGCTCTCTGGTAACAGTAAAGTGGAAGGACTAGCACCAGCATGAACAATTTGGGAGAGTATACTCATAATGGTTTGAAGGTCTCTGGTTAGACGACAATCGATGTTGTGGACTTGTCTGTATAGGAATATCAATCAAAGCGTGGTGTGAAATAGGCTTTGAATCTTTTAATCGAACATAATCTTATACTTTCTTCCCCTAACACTATCCAGAAGGTAACTTTTACAAGAATATCTAACAAATGTGGTCTTCAGACACTGTAATACAGCTGAAGAAGTTAGTATGTTCAGAATTCAGGGGGGTAATGTTAAAAAATTATCATGTTAAATTAAAAGCAAAATATTAATATATATTTTCATAAACTAATTCATTTAAGTATCTGTACATCATATGAGATACCACTACCATCTAAAACTGCCTCACTGCCATGTTTAATGACAAGAATGGTGAAATGAAACAAAGCTGCACAGAGATAGTGGTACAACCAAAAAATTGGAAAACACTATAAATGCCTTGGTGGACATCAGGGTCATCTTCAGAACCGAAAACCTAAATGTGGAAAAAATCCAGTCATATATGGGAAGCATGTGTTTACAACTAGAGCAAATAATTGGAATGGAATGAGGTTCGACATGAACAAAGGCCTACAGTCAGGTGGGTGTTTTTAAAATCTTGTATGGACACACATTTTTACTATTTTAACATCTCCATCAGGTCAGAGTAACCTACTTTACAATGCTTCACTATTTAATATAACCAGCAAATTAAGGTTAAACAACACATCTAAGTTTCATTATCTAACTTATCAGTATTTTCAGAAAGCTGCACTGACAGGAGCTTGAATCCAAGACTCTCGATCAGCTAATATTAATGCTCTGATCATACTCCCAAAAGTTTAGGGTTAACCAACATAATTGACATCGCTTTTTTTTTAATACTGAAAAGAGATGAAAGTCCATTAATAATTTACCCACACTTTATTCCTTTCACATTAAAAACTTCATGCAGACTGAACTACCATACTTGTTTTATTTTGCTAACAATTCAAGATTAATTAAATACATCTACTTGTTTCTCAATTCATTCTTTCATTTAAATGTGTGAAGGTTTCACATAACATGTGGTCTAGAAAACTGTTAAGTTGATCTAGCTTCAAGTTACCTTTGTTCCTTTGGTATTCTCGAAGCAGGTAATACCTGTTACTGCCCATGGAAAACATTGTTTAATATGATGTTTGTAAGAATGTTGCCAGCAGTGTCCTTTAGTGGTTACTCATGTGATATCTAGAGATTATGGTGAAAACTATGCCGTAATGGGAATGGTCAATCAAATGGTAGCACATGCCACTTTGGGTAAATGTGAAATTTCAGTGAAACTAAATACCTTGGATTTGGCACTCTGATCTAGAACATTGAAGATAGTTTAGTATAGCATGGTCATCAGTAGTCAGTCCAGCAAGTCAGTGAAAGCAACAGTCCAATATAAGTGAACTGCAAGTGCATGCAAATGTTTTTACTTAGTGTATAGATAAAGATTGTTCATTTTGTGTATCACTTAGTGTCCAGTCTTGTTATTTCCTTGTACATTCACTCAATTGGTATCTTGAGCAAATATTTTGCAATTTAGTGGATTCTGAGAGCTCAAAAATATCCATGGTATCTGAATATACAAACTATCTACTGATAGGGAAGGAAAACTTTGGCACCATGATTGCAGGATATCATTATTATAGAGTTTGCTATATCTGCTGAAGTGTTTACTACCCTTTACATGAACGCTTGTGTTATTAGCTTTTAAACGGTTTGGGGAAATGGCATTTTACACAAGTTAAACGATTTATGAAGGGAGAGTCGGTCACTGAGGAAAGATGGTAGTCCAAGAGAGCTGGTGAGTCTTGGAGAAATCCTCTCCTGGATGTGGAATTTCACCAATGATGTGAAGGTCATAACTTCTTCTTCATTGGTGTCAGAAATCCTCTCCTGGATGTGGAATTTCACCAATGATGTGAAGGTCATAACTTCTTCTTCATTGGTGTCACACATTTCGGAAGAATAACTACCAGAGTGCACCCAGAATGGCTAATCAAGTTTGACCCAGAGGACTGATCTTAGTGCAAGGGAAGCACAAAATGAGGACTGTTTTTGTGTTTTAGCATCTGGTGAGTTGGAGACCGGATGGGATGGTCTGTAAAGGATTCCCAGACTTATGATAAACAGAGTGTCTCAACTCCAGCTCTGGTTGAAACCATCTAGAGGTGCCATTGACAAGTTCTTTCTGCCAACTGGAGCCATTTTGCCAGCAGGTGAGATGGCAAGCACTGAATAATGATGTAAATGGAACATGGGGCAGTGGTAAGCCTTCCCAAAAAAGGAGGTATACTGCCAATATAGAAATGACCCATGGAGGAGCTGCCTTTTGGTTCTGCCACCTTAGATCAGGGGCCTACTGATTGTCAGAGAACCCCTACCACACTGTAGATGTCTCACTATGATGTTGACTGAGAGTACATGGAAGAAAGACTTATAATGGCTTCACAGGTCCATGTGAGTAAAATCTAAGCAGATTTCTCCTCCAACGTCAAAGGCTACAGCCAAAAATGTCAGGACCACTTCCTTAATCATTTCAGACTGATCAGGGACAGACAGTTCATCTGAAGTTTGGACAATTTGAATCAGGTTACTGCAAGATTAATGGGAGCGAAGGGTCTATTATTTTTATTTATAAATGCAAAAGAATGTTTCAATTTCGACATTGAAATATTCTACAGGTAATGAATTTTCATGGAAGGATAGGAGTAACAGAGAGACTCACACTATATCTGAGAGAAAACATGGTTTTACCCATTCGAAATATTTGAATAAATGAAATTATCAGTAGTATATGAAATTCATAAAGAGTAGCTTAAATGTCATAACAAATATAAACTTGATGTACCTAGTTTTTATTTGATCATAATAGAATACTTTTAATCATACTGATTGAAATATTTAGAAAAGCACAGAGTTTTCTGAATATTTTCTTAACCTCATTTCACCACAAGAAGTAGCTTAAGATGCATGAAAATGCAGGCTGTAAGCATACTAGGGGAAGGTTGAAAGTAGCATCCAAGTGGTGAAACTTTACAATTCACAGCATTGCTAGTACTAAACGTGTAACTAGAAGAAGATCCCTATGAAAAGACAATGGAAATATTGATGAGGGTCGACAATTAAAAGTGAAAGATAGTTTCACTTACGGATAGTATATGTATATAGTGAGAATGCTGTCATGGCAATGGCAATAAAGGACAGCATGACTAAATAAGTATTGGTCAAGCAGAGACCCAGTTGAAGTCTATGGACCAAGCAAATCATGAACATTATAGATACACGTCGTGTGTAAAGATGATTATCATATGAGCACATGTGAACCATATAAAAGTTTTGCTTGACTAAGGTAAGTTGCTTATTACTCAGTCTATACTAGCAATTTTGAGAAGAGGGTAATGGTCATAAACAGGTGGTTATACGTTTCATTCAACCTATACCTGCCTAGCCTTTGGACTGACCAAAATTCACCAAACTTACATTTTCAATCTGGACTTCTGCTATGAGAGACAGAATTCTGGATGCTTCTGGCAATCATGTTTCTACTATAGTGGTTTGTGTTTCCTAACTTGCATGCCAAAATCTCCACTACACTACCATTGAAGTAAATGACATGGAGGAATACCTTCAAGTACCAATAAATATTTTAATGATCTTCATAGCCTGATTGCAGCTAACATTAAGCCAGTAGAAGAAGGTATTCTGCTGGAAGGATCATCAATGTGGAGAATTAATGTGATGGAAGATGGACTCATAGAACAAAGGTGACTCCAGTTTTGGCAACTTCAATGTAGGAGCCTGATAGGCCACAGGAATTGTCTTGCACTGATACAAAAGTTATTTTGGGGATTGTTTACCAAGCTCAACTTGTAAATACTAGGGAGTTTCTCAGAGTTGGCTACTGGGGTGGGCAACATGTACCCCCCATACAGAGTATCCATTCCAATGGGTGCCAAAATCAATTAGCAGTTCTTGTCAATTTTACAGGGGCAGAGGTGCTGAATACAAAGTTTGCACAGGCTACAATTTTGCCTAAGGCCTACACTGGAGTTTCTAGTAATCAAGAAAGTGTTACAAGATCAGACATTTAAGAAAGGAAAGCTGTAGATGGTAAGACAACTGAATGAGAAATGATTTATATATTGAAATAGTGAAAGGAAAGATGGCACATACCTCAATTTCATTCCTCAAATTATGTATATTTTGTACATTATTAACTTACACGTAACTTTTGTGTCTATATTTCATCATGTTCTTTTAATATATGATGTTCTGTATTTTCTTTAAAGGGATTTTTTAGTGTTTTTAGTTTTTGCTAAAAGATTATTTTGATGTGTTTTAAAAGGTTTCTTTTTCTTAAAGATGTGATAAATCATTTACTTTTAATATGTAATATCAATTCCGTGTGTAAAGGGTTCCCTTTATATTTTGATTTTTTTATATTATCCCATGTTAATCTATGTTTAGGGTTTATATTTTGTGTATTATAAATGTTGAAGGTTTCCATTTTATATATTATGCACCATGATTTTAATGTAAAGGACTTTTAATCCTCTATAATATGCTTGATTCATGTCTTTAGTTTCATTAAAAAGTATTGTGTGTGATATTATAGAATATTTGGATTTGGTCACTTCACTGTTATAGGTAGTATTTGACTATCTGTGTTGAAGAATTAGCCTTTTTTGATATATTTAACATTTTTATTTGTTAAAGAGTTTTTGTCTTATATTTCATTTATTGTTTAAAGATAGTTTTTCATTGCATTTTTCATCATTGTTAAAGGGGTGTGCCATCTGCATAACATGAAGCCAGAAAGAGTTAACACAATTTTTGGCCAATGCTAATTCAAAATTTATTGGATATATAATTAAAGTTAATTGTTGGCTTGGGACAAGCCTGAGGCAGAGAAGACAGGAAAATGTGGTATTTGAATTAATATACGATGTGTTACTATCTTCTTGTAGTCTTAAAATATTTATTATGAATTAATTCTTTGTTCTGAATATGTGCAGGTTTCATATAACATGTAGTCAAGAAAACTGTTAGCTGATCTTGTTTCAAGTTACTTTTGTTCTTCTCAAAGTAGGTAATACCTATTACTACCCATAGAGATCTTGCATGATGTTGTGTAAGAATGTTGACAACAGTAATCTTCAATGGTTATTCAGATAAAGGTTATAGCCCCACCTATGTTGTAATGTTAATAAGATTTGGTACTATTACATAATCAATATCTTGAGTGAATCTTCTGCTATTTAGTAGACCTTTCTAATAACTTCAACAAATATTCAGCATCAACAGTTTAAGATTATTCAACAAACTTAGGCTTCACTTAAGTCACAAACAGTTCAGTTTCAGCCAAGAAAGATATAGGAAAATTTTATATTACAAACAGCTCAAAGTAACCTAATTACCCAGGCTTTACTCATTTAATGTTACCAACAGTTCAGGGTTAACCTACATACATACTTAAGCTTAACTATATTCATATTACCAACAATTAACAGTAGCCTAATTACCAAGTTGAAGGTAAACCTACATACATACTTAGGCTTCACTTACCCTATAACATCACTTTCATAATAATAATTCAACTATAATGAAATCAAACCTATTAACTGTTATGCCAACAATGAAAAATAGTTTGAACAATAACTGCCTTATATTCAAGTATATCTAACCTGCTAAGTCCATCTATTCTAGCCTTCACTCTCTCCAGGTCTCCATGACCCGGAGGGAGGTACTGGGAGGAAGGGAATGTTGCCTCTTCTCCTGGGGAGTGTTGGCTGCCAGGAGTTGATGAGGACATAGGGATAGTCATACTAGAGCTGGATTTAGGCATACTGCTGGCTGGAGTTTCATGTTGGGTGCTAGATGAACCAGAGGCTAGTCTTCCTGGTCCTGACCTAGACCGAGGGTTATTAGCCTGTGCTGGACCTTGGCTACTACCTCTAGAAGCAGGGTAGGGAAAGCGATCTAGTGGAGCAGAAGATCTTAATGTTGTTGAGGTTGGGCCAGACATTGGTGGGACAGCGTGAGAGACTGTAAACATTACCACATTTAATTCCTTATTATAATCAAAACATGTAAAGTGCATTGATAAAAATATTACAGTGAGATATCGGAATAAAATTTGATGAGACAACCTAAAATGTTATTTCGATAACACATAACACATCAGGGCTGTAGGAGGCAGTCAGGCCAGTCAGGCCTGACAACTTTTTCATGGCATGCATACAGTATACCTACAACTTGTGTACTAAAACTTGCTTCTTTTAATTCAATATGTTACGTTGTGTGTATGCAGTATTTTTAAAATGGCTCAAGCTTTAATCTTATTGCTTTAAATTGTCAAAACTTTTCTGGGTGGCCATGCCCCAGACCACACTACTTTGCATGCTGATAGTGTGATTTGCACACATCTTGTCTCACATTGTTTAGCTGTGGCAATGACCTGACCACTCCAAAATTGCTTCCTACAGCAAGGCACACCTACCTTTATTATTTCCATATATATATTCATCTTCTTCTTCTCTCTCTGTTTCAGTGTCATTTAAAACAAACTTTCCACATGTTCTTCAGTAAAAACCTATTGTGCATCATCATTACAGTTTGTATAAAAAAGTGCACAATAAAATTTGCACTTGAAATTAGCAAAGTTTAAGTCTTTCACCTACATAAGCACTGTTGCAATTAAAGAAAACCACTAGATAAGAGAAGAAAAAAATTGAGCAAGCGAGTTGCAACAACTACTATATGTGTTTCTACTCTTATGTCTTATTTATGGTCAAAGATCTGTGGGTGCAAAATATTTTTTATCACGATGATGTGACTATTTTTTGAGCAATTGCAAAATCTTAACTACTGCCAAAAGAAATGAGGCATCACTGAATCAGTTAATAAACCTCACTGAAAAGTACTTGGTAAATGATTATTCATTCTCACTTGGTTCTGCAGCCTCGAGAAGTGGAGCCTTCTCACGATCTTTTCTCTCAAATGATTCTCTTCGAATTGAAGAATGTAAAAAACGTGATCCTCTTTTTCCATTTCCATTGTCTCCTTCCACCTTAGTTATAGGACTTGGAGAAGGTACTGGCAGGTCTGAAGTTCCCTTTTTTTTTAAAACTAATGTGCTGTTCATTACACCGGTCAATGCACCTTTTGTAGAATAAAACATGTAATGAATAACAGAATAAAAAAATATACCATTAATTAAGAATGTTTTTTTTTTTTATTTAGCAATATTCCAGATATATAAAATACTTATTTTTGGCAGCATTTACCAGTATCACTTTGTATTAGAAAACACTTAGCATAACAATTACACCTTATTGGAGTAACTAAATGATCTTTTTGCTTGGACTTACTAACGGCATCTTCCAGAAATGTTTACTTACCACCAGCTTTGAATCAACTATGCCTGTATCTCATGACCACAGTATACATTACATGGAAATAAAATGTTGTATTATACACACCGTTTTCACTTAGAATTACAAATCAAAGCAACACATACCTTTGAAGCCCATACACAACAGTAACATTATCTGTCCAACATGGTTACCATAATAAACAGTTATTCTTACAGCTGGAGATCGTTTGTTTTCGTAAATGGCTCAAGTATGCTAATTAGACGAGTCAGTGACTGTCTACATTTATGATTCATTACAAGATTCTTAAAATGTTTATTTTCTTCATTTATTTTCAAAAATTCTCTCACTAATATATTAAACAGGTGGTTCATCATTTCCTAAAATGAGTACCTGTTATAAATTACTTACCAATTTATTTCTTGTCCCGTTTTTTCACTACTATTATTTAGATCATTTTCTTCCTCAGCTCTGATGCCTGCTGTTTTACCCAATGCTGTAGTAGACCTACTCAGAAAAGTAAAGTTCACTTACCTAGTCCTTCCTCGGAGGTTGTTTGTCTTAAGTCGGCTACACTCCATTTTAGATGATTGAATAAATCTGTTGACAGTGAATCAAACAGTTAGAAATACTTTTCTTCCTAAGTATCATTTTTAACCAAAATACAATATTATTTTTTGGGCAATTAATTATACCGATTTTTTCCATGTATACACTTTATGCATGTAAATTAAAACTGTTATTTACCACAATTGAATACTGGAAGATAATTAATGTCACAAAAACTGAATGAATACCCTAAATGTTGGATCTGCCTTCTTTTGATTTGCAACCATAGTCTGGAAAGTGAGTAGAGAAAGAATAAAGACAGGAAATGGAATCCAGCATTCTCTTGTTCTACCATTCTGGTAATAGTCTAGTACCTTTAGAAAGATTGTTATCTCAAACTGCTTTGATAAACAACATAGCTATTGAGAAGGAAGCATTAATTACACTAATAATGGACTGTAGTAAGTGTCTGAAAGGAAAATCCCAAAACATTACCTAAAGAAATGTAAGCCTCTTCTCTTCCGGGTGTATCTTATTGGACATTCATTGGAGGAGTGCCAATGTATATATAAAAAATAAGGAAGGAGTACAGGAATGAACTACTCCAAGAAGCATACATTCCTGCAGTCAGAGGTTTTGTAGATGTATATTTGGGGCATATTGACATGTTTCTGATTAGGCCCCATCCTTTGTTAAAAAAATCACACAAATTTTGTAAATAAGCATTCCTCACTCTCGAACAAAACCTATTCAACATATGAATATCCACAGAGAGTGGATATTATTAGTGTTAGTGGATCTGTAATTAAAATTATGTTAATTTATCACAGTTACTAATGAATGAAAAGAAAATGTGCTTCATTACTCTACTAAAGGGGGTGAAGTTGCTGAAACATAGTAAGCCACTTCCAAAACTACCCATGTGGCCACTTTTATTCCATTAGCTGATCATGTAACATTCAGATGACCTTTTGGAATTCTGAAAGCCACATAATATGATGGTTATAAAAACTTCAAGTGTATGGCTTTGTCACAGTGCACCAGTCTGATCTGAACAATGTAAATAATAATAATGCATTTTCTATGTTGTACAGAAGCTAATAGATCATATATACAACGGTAGCCATTTTTCATTCATGGCAGCAACAGATTGAGCATGCTGCAAAGTTTAAAAGTTGGAATCACTCATTCTCTGTTGGAAGACACGGCCTCACAAACTGTTACATCCACAGTAACAACATGTTTCCAACATATCTGGGTGTACAAGACGTATCGGGGCACTTCAAATTAAACAAAATCCCTTAATTAACTTTGAAAGGTTATTATAACCCTGCACCTTAGAGGACTGAGCCATAAATTTATAATCTTATTTTTACTTGTGACATTTACAGAGATGGAAATCAATTCATCAGTGTTTCAGAAGTTGTGTCTTTCTTCCCTAGAGAGAGTTGTTTCTATTATGATTTACAAACTATATATGTTTATTGCCAGAACAAGACTAGTGATTTCTACCTCTTTGTTTTGTACTTCATATTTCAATGTGAGAAACTACCACTTTACAGTTTCTTAAACTCACATATTTGTTGTCTGGTGGTTTTATAAGTTTATAAGTAATATCTTGCATAATTTATAAAATTAGAACAGTAATACTGTTCTTACTGTCATTTTAAGCATTTTTGACAATTTCATGTTACTGAACTATTTTAGTTTTTCTAAAAGTATTTATCAAGAAGTATTTCCAGAATATTTACCTAAAATTAATTGCACACCAACATGTACAATTATCTGGTTTCTTTCTTTCAGTCCATTTTCACTAATTTTCTTCTAAATTCTCCATCAACATGAAGACACTCACAACAGACTAGTTGTTATTAGTTATTTATTAAACACAAAGCTACACAAAGGGCTATCTGTGCTCTGCCCACCACGGGTATCGAAACCCGATTTCTAGCGGTAGAAGTCCGCAGACATACCGCTGTACCACTTGGGGGCACTCACAACAGAATATCCAAAACTATATTTCATTACATAAATTTACCTCATTTTAAAAGTAATGTGAAAATGAGTAACATAACCTCATACAATTTTAAAGGAACAAAAAGGAGCTTATTCGCCCACCAAGGATGTCCCTTCCAAGTCTCAACTATAACCACCCTTTACTACTCATACATTCATCCAATCTTTTCTTGAACTCAGTTAAATTTTCTGCCTCCACCACCTTTGAATGCAGCTCATTCCAAAAGCCAACCACCCTGTTTGAAAAGTAATACTGTCTAAACTGCAGATGACTCCTACGCTGCCAAACTTTGAATTTATGACCCCTTTTCCTATTGTTTTCACTGCTAAACACAAAACAGTTTGGTGAATCTATATTATCAATACCCTTAATAATCTTAAACAATTCAATCAAATCCCCTCTGACTCTTCTCCTCCCCAAAGAAAACAAGTTTAGAGATTTTAATCTCTCCCCATAGGACAATCCCACCATCCCAGGTATCATTGTAGTGGTTCTTCTCTGAGCCTTCTCTAACTATTCAATGACCTTCTTGAGAAGGAGAGCCCAAAACTGTACACAGTACTCTAAACGAGGCCTTACAAGTGATCTATACAGTGAAACAATAATATCCCACATATACAATACTAGCAAAATGTCTGAAAAATTATACATAAGGAAATATTATAATACTAGCTTATAAACAAGGTTACTAGATGAAACATACGAGTAGTTATATATTCATTGTTGTTGTATTTTAGTGGAATATTTCAAGTTGAAAGTGAAAAATACTTTCTAAGACTAGATACGAACATGTGGTGATTTATCTTGTGATTACTGAGGTACAGATTGCATTATTTTGCTAACAGTCTCTATAATGTTTTTGCATGTTAGACTGATGGTCAAAGTCAACACTTTGAGTCAGTCTATTGAGAACAACAGCATTTATGAATCAGTCAATTATGATAGTGAATCTTTCATGTTTTTTGATAAGTATTACTATTTTTAAGTGTAACATTATATTCCCAAGACATAAGGATTTATCCCCATAAGAAAGAAGGGTATACAAACAGAGCTGTTAAACGTTTCTAAACTTATCACAGACATTCCCCAAACTATGTGTGATACATTTTAGTATAAATCTTAAGAGTAGTTTTTAACTATCTAGTATTACCTAAATGTAGAGCTGTAGCTAGGTTAGAGCAGGAGGGGCAGTTGCCTAGGGTGCAGCTAGAAGGGGATTCAGTCCGAGCACTAGAAAGGGGATTCAGTCCGAGCACTAGAAGGGGGGATTCAGTTCGAGCACTAAGCCTGTTATTCAATAATTTATGCAGAACTGTACAGTCTTGAAGCTTGCCCAGGGCACAAAAATGACTGGCTATGGCTCTACCTAAATGAATACTCTTATCTTACGTGATAAATATACCACTGCTATAATATATTCACAGTTAGCTGTTTTCAAATCTAAAGATTTCTTGATAGATATTATTTAAATTTTTGTTTTGTTTTGAAACAAGATTTAAAAAGGTAAAATCTTATCAACAGCAAACCATGCATGATTATGACTTAAAGAAAGGAAAATTTTAAAACCATAAAATAAAATGGAGAAGAGGTGTACCAGGGAAAATGTCGGCTATGAAATACGACACAAATTTAGTTAAAAGGGTGTCTTACTTGCTAATGACTGAACAGCTCCACGTTTCTCAATCTTTTTTCCAAAATCCAAATTAGCTGGTGTCACATCCTGCCCTGCTTTGTCTGGTGAAAGTTCCAAGATGCCTGGCCCACTTTTATCCCATTCCTTCTCTTCTTCATCATCGCTGAATCCTATTACACCTTCTGAAGGTAACTGTCCATGGGGCTTGGTTCTTCGACGTGGTCGAGGAAACTGATAAGCTAACATTCTAGGATCTTCAACTATCAATAAAATTTCCTGTATCAGTAAATAATACTTGAGAATTAAGTGTTTGATCAAGCTAAAAAAAACATGTATAAGGCTGCTGTATCTTACTTCAGTCACTTGGATGTTTGAAAACAGATAATAAATGGTTATTACTAGTCTAAAACTTGGTTTAAACACTTCTACCACATTTTCATTTAAACACAAAAGTTGTGACAGGAAAATGAAGGAAGTAATCATGGATTTCAAGCCAGCCAACTCTGGTACTGAGAAGTATGATACGAGTTGTTTTATTTTTCAGCCTATGCCAACACATATTTCATATTACAAATTAAATTCATTATTGGTTATTATCAATATTATGAAACTTTGTACAAAGCTATTGAAACTGTTACAACTGCTCCAGAATGGTTTTTAGTTTAAGCTAAAGATCAAGTGTAAACAGCAATAATTAAGGACACAAGATAACTTCTTTAAAATACCTTCCCTCTGTCAGTCGTTAACGAAAGTGCTTCACATCTCACCTTTTAAAATCTCTGCTAGTACAAACCACAAAGCTTCCATTCCAAAACAACATACCTTCTTCTGGTGAGCTGACCTGTCGATAAAGTACAGCTTTGGACCGTAAAATCTCAGTGTCAATTCCTGGTTGGTCCATCTGAAAGTAAATTTTTTATTCAGTGAATTCTCTCAACTACACGTGACTAAATTTGAATGTTATATAATCGAACGTCTTAGTATTAACCGCCAAAGTGGTCTTTCTTCACATTCATCAACAGTGAAGCAGAAAGGCATCTCGTTTCTTAAAGTCTCTGCTGCTTATAAAAAAAACTCTGTAGAAAAACAGGATCTTAACTGTTCGAATACATAGAATATATCACTGATATTAAACATCTCTGTAAACATTTATGAAAATAAAATTTGTAGGAATACTCACATCTCTTAAATTAAATGTTATCTCTAGATTGGTGGAAAAAGTCTCATAGAACTCTGGGTACATCTGTATAATATCTAGTAGATCATCCCGCAAAATCTTATGAAGATCACAATATGTCAGGGCACAAACATTACAACTGGATTTTCCTACAGTCGAATAAGCGCACGGATTCTCTCCAAACACATCATCTTTGCCTAGAAAACATAGAATAATTTATAATAACTAACTGGATTCATTAACACTAACAGATATTTCACAGACTTGATGATTACTTAGGGAATATAAGCAAATTTGTTTGTTCAAATTGCTAAAGGCTACTCGAGGCCTATTTGCATTAGTCGTCCCTAATTTTGAAGTAATGGTAATAGATTTAATGGAAGGCAGCAAGTCAACAACACCAACTCTTGGGATACCCCTTACTAGCGAATAGTGAGTTCACTGTCACATTATAAGGCCCCATGACTGAAAAATCCAATGTATTCGATAAAAGGATTCCATCCCACGACCCGCAGATTGCGAATCGAGCACTCTAATCACGAATCCATGTCAGGAATTTCAAATAAAGATAAACCTCAAGAATAAAGTTTGAATAATTCGTTAAAGTACCACTTATTCGTGGGTTTGTTTAGTTTTTAGGCGCAATGCAACACCATGGGCTATCTGTGATCTGCCCAGAGAATTATCGTTGAACCCCCAGAGGGCTTATTCGGGGGGGGGGTTAAACGCACTTCATCTATTATAAAATAAAAACAATTCCAATAGAAATAAGAAGAAATTAACGTTTCAGATAATAATATATAATAATTTTTAGTGAATCACACAATGATTTGGGATTGATGAGTAGATATTATGAAGTTAAAATTGCTATTAGATAAAAAAAAAATCACTTCGTTTGGTGGCTGAAGTAAATGAAATTTTGACAAGTTGTTCTCTTTCAAGGAGAAAAGTTTGCTTTTACAATTAAATTATACGTATGCCTGAAGCATATCATACAGGTAATATAGGTAGAATACTAGATTCACTTTGATCCCTGACCTTTAACCTTACCCCTTGACGTCACATTCACTTGAACCCATGACGTCACACAAGTCACGTGACGTGTGAACTGAAAGCGGGAGTTCACACGTTATTCACTCAACAAGGCAGGTGCGTAAGCCCTAAATGGTTCATTTTAAACTTTGAACGTTAACCTTTAATGTAACAGAAGTCACGTGACGTTTGAACCGAGAGCAGAAGCTCACACATTAACCATTAGAGATTGTAAGAGCAGTAAGCACTAAACGGTGACCCCTGCAGTAGAGTGACGTAGCAGTTAACCTCACAACAGAGATGCTGTTTTTTTTTTTTTAGTGCAAAGCTACACAATGGGCTATCAGCGCTCTGTCTGTATGGGGAATGGAACCTCGGATTTTAGCATTGCAACTCTGTAAACATATCGCTGGCCCACCGGGTGACCACCAGAGAAGTAGAACATGTATGCACCATTAAGTCCCCTTAAGGATGTCATGGGGGTGGGGGTGTTCGTTCTGACACCCAGGTCAATCCCCGGGTTACCACTGTCTGTATGTATGTGTCTGCCTTTCCCTTCTTTAATTTTCAACCGATCTCAACCAAACTTGGCATGTACCCTTAAGGCCCATTGGGGAGTGAAGAAGGGTGAGAGGCAGCGTTCGGAGATTACCTCCCTTTGTCACCCCCTGGAACTGACCACGTTGTGTAGTGCATACTATTCTATTGATCTCAAACAAACCCCGAAGGCTCTCTTGGTGCACACCAACTGTCATACACATAGTTTGTGTATTTTGTATTTATAATATGATATTATTTTGTATTTTATAATATGATATTATCTCGTATTTTATGATGTTATTTTGTACTTATAATATGATATTATTTTGTATTTATAATATGATATTATTTTGTATTTTATAATATATTATTTTGTACTTATGATATTATTTTGTATTTATAATATGATATTATTTTGTATTTTATAATATGATATTATTTTGTATTTATAATATATTATTCGAAACTATTCATTACTTTTCAAAATGGCGCGTATTTTTCTTTAAATTTTCCATAACATGCTTCTATAACAACATTTATTCTATTGCACTATTCTGCAAACAAATGTAAGAATAATAAATATTTTTTCTTACGTCTAGAAACAAGCTTACTGAATCATTTGATTTCATCAGTTCTTGCAAGTTCAAACATATTCCACAATTAAGTTAACTCAAATTATTCAGCGCCCTCTATCTTGCTAGCACTTATGTTCTGTAAGTGAAAAAAAAAAACATCACATAAATAATTTAGGTGTTAATTTTTAATTATAACATTAAAATGTATAAGTCAATTTTCTGCGACTTTTAACAGTAAAATACAAATAATAATCAGATATACGTAACGTGGCTAATGGATATTATAGTTATATTAGGCCTAGTGATGAGTCACATGAACTAGGGGTTAGAGTAACTTCAATTACGTGTAAATCAAAAAAAAAGATTAAGCTCAGTTTCATATGAACATTTTTGCTACAGGCTTTCCCAATTATACATTCAGAAATTAATTGGATGCCTCGAATCCATTTATTTTAATCGAAAATTGTACTTATTTTAAACTACAAACTTCAGTAATATGCTTGTTATGTTTGTCTCTTTGTTGATCTTCGCGTAAAGCTATTCTTTACTTTTGTAGTGACAGAGTAGAGGGAAGGCAGCCAGTCATCACCAACCACCGCCAACTCTTGGGCTACTCTTTCCTAACGACTAATTGATCGTCGTATTATATCGCCTCCTCGGCTAAAAGGGCGAGCATGTGCGATGACAGGATTTGAACCCGCGATCCGCAGATTACGAGTAGAGCGCCCTAAACACCATGTCCTGCCAAACCCTGTTTCTGGTGAGTCAGAGGCCCGGCATGGCCAGGTGGTTAGGGCGCTCGACTCGC